ATGAGTTATCTTTTGATGTAAGCAAGATACATACACTGATGACATCAATTATGACTCCATTATATTTTTATATAGAAAAAAAATATTGCATTTGAATAAACTATTGTGATAGAAAGAAAACAATGTATTGTTTTAATTACAAAATTGAGTAGAATGTGAGATGTAAATAGTTAAATTGAATAAGTACGATCATCAAAAGCTGATTCCGACCATTGTTGGTTCGTTTGGTGTGGATCATATCTGATTGTATGATATCACATGTATTCGTTTATATTGGTTGTAATTGTCGTTGTGAATATTCATTCTAAACGACAATCAAATATGCTTCTAAAACTAAGTATGCGTGTCAATGCGATTAGGCTTTTCAATTCGAGAATCTGATGTTTGATTGGAAAACTTATTCGAGATGAAGTAGTAAATTCAGAGATTTGTATGTTGTAATGAACAAATTTAAGATGTGTTCTATAGTCTTCAATTCTATTGTAAGTTTAAAATCAAAACTCGAGAATGTTCAAATTGTTTTTGTATTAGCATATATTTCCACACAAAAAAAATGACAAGTATTTATTATTGATTTTTTAATTTCTTTAACTCTCATATAAAATCAAATTTAGAAAAACAAAGCTCAGTATATTTGAGCAAAATCTAAACGATTCTTATGAGTGAAGAACAGTTAATGGACTGAGAATCGTGACTAGTGCATTGAGAATTACATGAAAACAGAACATTTCTTTGTGAGTCTAGTGATGAAATAGTGTTTTCATATGAATCAGAATAAAGGCCACATTGAACAATTGTAAATGATTATGTTTCAAGAAGATGACGTCATAATTTTTTTCCAATGAAAAATATTAATGGAATGATTTTTAAGAAACGTCTCAAAACTTTTTCCTGTCACTATGCAAAATCAATACAGTTAGATTGAATCCATGAGATTCACTACAATCTTTCTAAGAAACAAACTGTCACTATCGCATCACAACAGCGGTATTATTTTTGAAACAACCCTCATATGTTTCGATAGTTCAAAATAATAATCCCAACAGACAAAACTTTCCTATAATGCATGTAAACTCTTATTTTTGTGCGTGAACACGTACAAAGTATCTTTATCACATTAGTATGGTTGTGCAAATATTGAAAAAAAGTATTTTTATGAACGTGCTTATGCTCATTTTATCTTGTACTGGGTAGGAAATAATATTATTCCACGGGTGGTATCGCTATAATTTGAAATAGAAGACATAATGTATTTTATACCAAATGAAAGCCCGTCAAAAATGGGATTTATTGGTATGAAATAGAAAGAGTTATAAAAACATTTTACGGTCAAATTTAAGAAATTTTCGGAATTTTTGTGCTTGGGGTGGAAAATTAAGTTGTCAGTAATTCAAAAAGGAAGTAAAATCTTTGTCTTAGATATTGTTACACGGTTTGATAGAGCTTGTTGAGCTCTACAAAACTGTATGTATCGAAAAAATTTTATTGCTTTTTCCGATCAGAAACTCAAAAACCTACTTGGAAACTTTGAAAAAAGAGGTTAAAAAACATATTTTTTAAATAAAAGAAAAACAATCGTTTTTTCAACATAATTAGCTTTTTGAATCATTTTTATTACCTCAGCGGCTTCAAAATGCACTCATTTGATGCTGTTTTTCAAGCTGCATTGAACGAGTATATTTAGAAACCACTGAGGTAGTATAGATGATTAAAAAAGCTAATTATATTGAAAAACCGAGTGTTTTTCTTTCATATAAAAAATATGAGTTGTTTTAACATTTTTTTCAGATTTTCCAAGTAGGTTTTTGAGTTTTTAATCGGAAAAAAGTCATAAAATTTTTTTAATATATACAATTTTGTAGAGGTCAACGAGTTCTATCAAACCGTGTAAGAATATCCAAGA